CAAGGGTCTTCTGTATGCCTTCCCCCCCCCTTTCCCTGATTCCAGCGGTGCTGGAGAAGACAAGGAGGGGGAACCTGGATGTTCTGTTGGTGGCTCCACAGCGCCCTCAGGCGACTTGGTTTGCGGAAGTCCAGATCCTCCTTTCAGGGAAGCCGTGGCAAATCCCGCTGAGGGAGGATCTATTGTCTCAAGCAAGGGGGGAGCTGTGGCACCCGACAACATCCGTTCTCAATCTGTGGGTTTGGCCGTTGAGAGGGACACTCTCCTCGCTCAAGGGTTATCCATTGCAGTAGTAAAGACTTTGCAGTGCGCTAGGGCCCCGTCAACAAGGGCACTATATTCTTACAGATGGGAAGTTTTCAAGACTTGGTGTGAACAGCGGCATGAGTGAACCCCGGTCCTACCCCCTGAGTTCAGTTCTTGAGTTTTTACAGGAACAGTTAGACCAGGGCAAGTCCCCTTCAACTTTGAAGGTCTTTCTTGCAGCGATATCAGCTTGCCATGAGAGAGTGGATGGGAAGGCACTCGGTGCTAACCCCTTGTCTATTCAGTTCATAAAAGGGGTTCAACGGCTTCGCCCCAGGAGGCTTCCCTCTGTGCCTGCATGGCAACTTAATGTTGTCCTTGATGCACTGCTGAAGCCTCCATTTGAGCCCATTGCGAACATTGACCTCAAGTGGCTTTCTCAGAAGGTGGCTTTCTTGCTGGCCATCACCTCGGCCAAGCGCGTTGGGGAGCTTCATGCACTGTCTGTGCATGCTGATTGCTTCCATGTGAACCCAGAAGAGGCTGGCGTTGTGCTACGTCCTAACCCGGCTTTCATGCCTAAGGTTCTTTCGGTGCGGAACCTGAATCAGGTGATTGTTTTGGACCCTTTTCACCCTCCTCCCTTTGAGTCAGAGGAGGATCAAACACTTCATACTCTGTGTCCTGTGCGGGCTCTCCTCTGTTATGTTGATCGAACAAAAAGTTTTCGTTTGACAGATCAGCTCTTTGTCTGCCATGGTGCTGGGCAGAGGGGTAAGGCCCTTTCTAAACAGAGGCTGTCACACTGGGTAGTTGACACTATAAAGCAGGCTTACCAGCTTTCTGGTCTCCCATCTCCAGTGGCCACGGTTGCACACTCTACCCGGGGCGTTGCTACTTCTTGGGCTCTCCTTAAAGGGGTCCCCTTGCAGGATATTTGCCAGGCAGCCTGTTGGTCCTCGCCTTTGACCTTTGCACGGTTTTACAACCTGAATGTGGTATCTCCTTTGTCCTTCGGGAATGCTGTCTTGAGTTCCTGAGTTCAATCCTACGAAGTTTCATCTGACTTCATACAGTTAACCAATTCAGTCTTGTTGGCATAATGTTTGTATTTCAATGAAGGTCGTAAAGGCACTTTGTGTATTGTGTCGTTTGTACATCTGCTGAAATGATTGTCCTCCGCGACGTTGGGGTATACATATATTCCAGCCCTCTGGGCTAGCCGTCTGGCAGCCTTTCTTGAGTGAAACAGAACGTTGGGTTACGGATGTAACCTTGGTTCTGTGAAGGAAAGAAAGGCTGCCAGACTTTGTCGTCACTCTGGTCTTCGTGTTCAGGATTTTATGAGGACGATCGTGTGCCACGCTCACAGTTATATCCAGTGACGTGCACACTCACATGTAAGTAATGTTTTGTTATAGGTCTACCTCAGAACTCGCACATGCACGGATTATATTCCAGCCCTCTGGGCTAGCCGTCTGGCAGCCTTTCTTTCCTTCACAGAACCAAGGTTACATCTGTAACCCAACGTTTTCATTTTCATTTCAGTTCACGATTTAAAAAAATTTACTTTCAATTTTAGTTTACGATAACGACACTGGTCCCAAAAAGCCTGATATGCACAAACACACAGACACACACACACTGGTACCATCAATCAATGCAGAATAAGCCCAGATTTGACCCTAAACATTTTCTCAAACACTTACTCAATGAAGGTAATATTTTAAGGTAGCAGGCAGACAACTTTATGGATTTAATAATGAGTGTATTTAGCATCTATAAGGATGGAAGATATTAAAAAGCTTTCTATACTAATGGAAATTTAACAAACATGAATTGACAACACTTGCGGTGGTTTTCCCTATACTGGCAGCCCATCATCCAGACTAGTGCCTGCGTGTTTTCTCTCATGCACAGCATTTGTGCATAGCGTTCATATACCATCGAACTTTTCAGTGTACAAACCACCTTTTTATTTTGTGATAATTTGAACTGCTCCCATAATCACATAGCAATATTGAAAAAAAAATATTTCTTATGAATTGAAGCATTATAGAAATTAAAGGTAAAATTATTGAATGTGTCGATTTTAAATATTGATGTTGATGCATTTTCAGCATAAATGTTATTAACTACATTGACAAATCGCAGCAGCCCAAAATAGGATGCAAAAAAACCTTTCAAACTATAAAATATTTTCAGTATTTTCATTCCGATAACTGCATTAGGGCTGTACATGCAGCATAAATTGATATTGTGAGTCTACAATTTATTAAGCAATTTACCATTATCAAGCATTTTGAAAGTTACTAACAGAAAATATTATTGGGCATGAACACCATTTATGCTCTGGTTTAGTTAGTTTAAGATTAAGAAAATGTGGGTTAGGACTGTGCCTGTGATTGGAATGTCATCAGTTCAACACCTTTGGCCAGCAGAATGATGTCACCGTGGGACCCTTGACCAAGACCCTTAACCTCAAATTCTCCAGGGGTTCTGGATGTTGGTTGGTCCTGTGCTCTGACCCCTCGAACTTGAACCTGTCTGTATGTCTCATGTACTTATTTTCCACTAGTGGAAAGTTGGTACTGTTTTCAGTGCTGAAAAGGAGCTAGTTCTCAGATGGTTCTCAAGTTGGATGACCTGAGAACCAGCTCAATTTCCACTGGTTAACTGATCAACACAACATTTATAACAGACAGCCAGTAAGAACACAACAGCAGGCATATAATGTTCTTGAGTACATTAAATTATGTTTTTGGATGGAGCATATTTTGGCTAATGATAACTTAAGTTCTGGTTCTGAACTTAGCATCAGTTGAAACATTTTTTACGAATCATTAGCTAGCTACATTTATAGCATTACTAATTAATACAGACGCTCCTCTACTTACGAATGAAATATGTTCCGAACGGCCGTCCGTAACTTGAAATGTTCGTAAGCCGTTATTCAACATCATTTTAAGGGTATACACAAATAGAAAGAACTAGGATGCTGGGAGTACACACACTACACTGCAGTGTGGCGGGAGTAGTGGGCAGAAGTTGTACTAGGCGGAACTGGTGCGCAGAAAAAAAAAATTGATGTTGCAGACAGGAAATGGGAGCCCAATGAACACAATTTGGACTTACAGTTCATATGTCTGAAAGTACGCAAGTAGAGCAGCGTCTGTAGTTACAATTGTTTGCAGCATCTCTGCTGTGTAGAAATCAAAATATTGGAAATAAATGTGGCTCTGCTGAAGTTTACAGTGCATTATAGCCCCTCCCCACATACAAACATCATAGGTTTGCAGTTACAGACCAGCAATTCTCAGGGGTTTTTCTGGCACAGCATCAGTTTATTTGGCATTAGAAAAGCATAGAATCAGTATCAAATTAGGCACCAGCTCAGCATTAGTACCAGCATCACATTGGTGGAAATTGGTTAATGGAGAAGTGGTGGTGACCTAATGGTTAGGGAAGCATACTTCCCATCAAAAGATTGCTGGTTCGAAGCCCCTGAGCAAGGTACTGCCCTCACGCTCTGTTCCCTGGGTGCTAAACAATAACTGCTGACTCCAATGTCAGACATGGGTTAAAAGAAGAGCACACATTTCATTTTTGTGCACCAAGTGCTGTCAACATTGACAATCAGTCACTTTGACTTTAAAGGCGGGACATGGATTTCCCCATGGGAATGAATAAAGTATCACTATTGTAATTTACTAGCTAAAATGGACTTAGGTGAAGGAAATCTTTACCTGAAAACTAACAGATATGAACATCAAGATATTTCTCTACTCAGTTGGTGAGCTCTAGTCTCCATACCTGCAGCCCGCTTTCTCTTTGGTGCCCGTTTACTTGTCTTCTCATTTTTTCCTTTCTTGCCCCTTTTAGTCTTTTTATGATCATAGTCGCTGCCCCCTTCATTGTCATCTTCCTCTGCAAAATCATTATCCTCTTCACTCCCAAAATCATCTAAAAGAGAAGGCAAAATGTTGTACATAACTAAAAACCAAAACGGTTGTGCTTCAATGGTTAGAAGGGCATTTGACTGACAGGACAGGACAGGCAGACATTTTTCAGGTGGTACCCTCAGAAACTTAACTTTTACCATATTGTGACAAGTTTTGAAATAGTAAGAATTAAAAGTAATACTAAGATATTACATATGATGTTAATTGAAAAGGTTCACAAGCAGACCCACCTGCTGAATCATTTTTGGATTTGGAGTCTTGGTCATCTGAGTTGTCACTAAAAGAGCAGTGGAAGAAGACAGTCAGTGTGAAACATTCTCTGAAAGATTGCCACTGTTTTAGCCAAACATGAATGAGACCAAAAAAGAAGGAAGCACGCTGGACTGCTGACTAGGTCACAGATTGTTTGGTGAGCAGGTAAAGGACAAGCTAATCAAGGCAAATATACTAGAGCTGATACAATTACTCAATTAAACTCAACTACAATTTTTTTAAAGCATCAACAAAAATAGCCAAAGCCTCAGTTGTGTGGAAGCACTTCATTCATTAAAAGTGAATGAAAATGCAATCATCTGTCTCACTTGCTCAAATATCCAACATACCGTAGATATGTGCCATTTAGCCTCTCGGAGTAGCATAGCATAAAACACCAAAATATGGGCGCGTGGCATGGAAATGACTCTCATTTTGATATTCACTTAAGTCCTTTTAATTGCATTTTTCACTACACGTCATATGCCTCTACACAGCCAAATGCAATGTTGCAGTCTTCAGAAAGCCAACCACGTAACATGATGACACTTTTGCATTTATTACACATTTATAAATAAATGTTTCAATCCAAAACACATGAATAATTATACAAGAATAAGATAACAGAATAGTATGTAAAAATATATTACTTTATATCAGGGGTCTCAAACTCCAGTCCTGGGGGGCTGGAGCCCAGTGTAGCTTAGTTCTTTCCTTGTTCCACCACAAATGATTCAGCACAAGGGCTGTGTGGTAATTAGCACAAGGAGTTGAATCAGGTGTGTTAAATGAGGGTGAACCAAAAACTGTGTAGCACAACCACAACAAAACAACACATTAAAATTTGGTCACATAAAACACTTGCATGCAGAGAAAGTAAATTGCAATGACATCACCATGCATTTAAAATCTTTCAGTGGAACAAGGGCTTGAAGTTGAAGCTTTGATTGCAAGTCATTCCAGGTATGAGGTGCTGAAAACCTAAAAGCTTTCTTGCCCAGTTCAGATCGTACTTTAGGGACAACAAACTGCAGAACATCCATAGATCTAAGATTGTAACTTCCATGTTTCCTTGTTAAGAAACAGGATAGATAAGAAGGAGCAAATCTCAGCGCCCCATGGTATACACTTATCCAGCATACAATGAGGCGAAGTGTTCATATACATCTCCATAGTCCATAATAGGTAAAAAAAAAAGTTGTTTCGACCAATTTCTGTTTCACACGTAAGGAAAAGCAAGACTTATTTATATAGTAAAATCCTAAAAGAAGTCTCAGTTTTTTTACAACATACTGAATATGCTCCTTAAAAGTCAAATGATCATCTATTAAAAATTCTAGATATTTAAAAGTAGACACCAACTCCATTTGTCGTCCATTCCTAGTTAAGATTTTCTCGTTCGGTGCAGATCTCACCATTTTTGAAGCAGCAAACAACATACATTTTGTTTTCTCTACATTAAAAACAAGTTGCAGATGACAAAGCTGATCTTGCACTGTATCAAATGCCAATTGTAAAGACTGAAAGGCCTTTGTTATGTTAAATGTTAAAGTTCACCAGGGAAAACTGTATTAACAACATTTCGTCGGACACTAGCGATGCTTTGAAAACGCCCGTAACTTTAAAAGCTGCGGTCTGGCAGCATTTCGGGTTCAGAACGGACAAACAGACAGATGAGCTTGACAAAAGCAAAGCGATTTGCTTTCCCTCTGGAGTCTAGGGGTAGGGAACACACTTTCAAAGACTGGGGCATGGTCACACATTTCATTCAATATCATAAACTTAATTAATTAATGGCAAATAAATTATTTCTGTTTGTTTTTGCATTAAACTCATCTTTATCTTAGTGTACTTATGTCAGATTTATGTTAAGTTTGTAATTTGACAACAAAGAATAGACATTGCAAAATGCAGTTTGGAACAATTGCAGACACATTATAAAAGTACATAGTAAGCAATGCTGGCACTTTGTTTTGATCCCAGATATCTGATCACCAAAGTCTTGGCTACATGAAGATGACTAAATGGTGTAGTAGCAACATTCAGTTGGATAAATAAGAAAAACCGAACTCATGTCACTATTTCTGGCTCCTTTCATTGAATATGTAGCAACTTTCATGTGTATGAATGAGCCATTGACACCTGGCCACATCCCCCCCCCCTTATGGTGCCGACAGGGATGTATCTGGATCGCGTTTCACCGTTGCGTTGTTCATCAAATTACCATGCGAATGCGATTTGAATACGCACTAATGCGGCTATTTAGAATGTGAATAGCGATCTTCGGGTGAGAGCGGTACTACACGATCCAGGTAAAACAAAGTAAGGTGACTTGGTTTACTTTTTTGCCGATTTAATTTTAAAAACTTTAATACTTCCGATAATGGACGTTTTGAAAAGAAGACCGATTACGGATTTAGTCAGGCAATGCCTTTCTATTTTCAATTTATTTTCAATTTACAGTTCAAGTTTAAAATGTCCAGTTTACATGTTCGCACTTTAAACTTCGTTTTTCACATTGTAACTGAATTAAAATAGCATTTGTCTTCAACAACAACAGCTTTTGGGTGAATTCTTTATGTCATATTTTTAATAATGCCCTAGGTTAGTGTCCCAATAGCAGTCAATTGATGAAGGTATAGACACCTTTGGTGTCCTCTGTTGGTTGTCCTGGATCTGTTCGGTAATTCTGCCCAACAGCATGTTTGTGAAAGCAATTGTATCAGCATTCTAGGAGGGGGATTGGTCCTTACAGCCATCTTTAACTATCAATACTTCATTAATTTGTTGTTGAATGTCAATATAATACTAGTATTAATATGTTGCACAAATACACAATCATGTAATTAAGGTAACAGCTAAAAAAAAGCTTTTAAAAACACTGACCCAAATCGATATTGGATAGGATCGATTCATGATAATCGATTCTAAATCTTGAGATTACCAGTACCAAAGAAGTCCAGTCTTCGTCTCAGCTCACTGGATAGCACCCATGTCTCACAGCCAAGATCAGTAAATCTTTCATCACCAACGGACGCCCAACAGCCGCTGGACATCTAGTCCATACAAGCATTGAACGGAGTAGGAGCAAGAACACATCCCTGGTGAACCACAAAATCAACTGGGAAGAACGCATCCTTCAGGGTCTGATCACGCAAAGTCTCCCACATCACATTAGTGTCAGCAGTCGCACCCAAGCCTGCAAGTTCCTCACACAAAAACAGCTTGATCTTGGAGTCTGGCTAAGTTCAGCCTCATTCTCATAGTAGGTGGTAGCCTACTGGATCTAAGCTGAATCTTCAGAGTAGCAACAGCAAGTCTCTGGTCAGAATTCACAAACTGGGCACATCTGTAGACCTTGCAAATCTGCTGGAGCCTCCAGCGTCTGCCCACAAGGATATGATCTCCTTCGCCATACCACCAGCATTGGAGTACCAAGTCCAATGATGCGGCTCAGAGTGCTGGAACCAGGATCCAGCAACTTGCAGCCCCTGACCTTTCGCAAAGTCAAGGAACATGGAGCCATTTTCATCCAGGTCTCCAGACCCATGGAGACCGATACAATCCTCATGGCCCTGTCAGTGCCAATGGTCGCATTGAAGTCACCCATGACCAGAGGAGTGTCACCTCGTGGGCACACTTCAATCACAGAGTGAAATTGCAAGTAAAATGTCTCCCTCAATGAGACATCACTCACCGCATTTCGAGCATACTCTGAGACAACAGGCAAGACACCCAAGGAGTGCCTTAGCCTGAGTCTCATGATACGCTAGAGAGATGGATAATACCGCTTCTTTCAAAAAGATTTATGACCTAAAGGTCAAAAAGGTCATGGGTCAAAAGTTCACTGGGTGGGCGGGTTTGGGGCAGAGCCATGTGACGTCTCGACTAGTGACGTTGGGAGAGGGTGTTTTTTAAAAAAATTATTATTTATTTTTATTCTTATTAATATTTTTAAAATATTTATTACAATTATTTATTTTATTTTAATTATTCTTATTTTATTTTGAGGAGAGTGAATTGTGTGCTTATGAGTGGGGTTTGTCGGAATAGCCCCATGCTATGAGGCTGACGGGGCCGAGCACGGAGCTGAGCATGGAGCTGAGCACGGAGCTGAGCACGTATCTGAGCACAGAGCTGAGCGGGTCGGTTACCTGATGGAGTGTGAGCGTACGCCGGGGGTGCCTGTGGAGCGGTACCTTGGTAAGGTCCCGGTCGGTCCGGCGGAGCGTGTACTTGGGCATAGCGCAAAGGACTCGGAGAGAGCGATGCTGGAACTTATCCCGGTGCTGCGCGAGACTGAAAGAAACTCTGGGAGAATGAGAAAGTTGGAGCTAAGAATGAGAGAAGGTGGGTCTGGGAAAATGAGTTTGGCTCTATCCTCCTCCAATAAACGCTTAGCAGCAGTTTGGGGGTGTGTCTGTGTGTGTGTGTGTGTAGTAGGGTTTTTTTTTCCTCAAACTTGTTTCAAGTTTGTGTTTTTCCTCATGCAGCCGTTATATTACATCAGTAATTGGGCCACATTAAATTGGACATTTTGTCTTGCAGTAAGTTTTGTTTGAAGTTTTGGTTTTTCTCATGCACCTGTTATGTACATCCCTGTAGGTCATCCGGGTCATCTGTAATAATTTGAGCCACACATCAAATTGGACATTTTGTCTTACAGTAAATTTTGTTTGAAGTTTTGGTTTTTCCGATACGCCCGTTATGTACATCCCCGGGTCAAGCACATCGTCATAAATACAAATATGAGTTAAAAGAAAAACACCGTGACGTATATGAAATAGACATAATTAAGAAAATGAGATAATCCTAAAACTTGACAGGCGCTATACTTCTCCTTAAAGAATCCTAAGAATAACCAGCCGCAGATATTTTTATTACCCCTAGCATGGTTGTCCTCCTTTGGTAAAGGGACACAAGTACCCCCAAGTATCATCTACGGCCTTACCCCACTGGAAAGAGAAAACTACACGGGACTTGTATAGAGTGAGTATATTATTTCTTTTATACACATTTTATGATAAACGCTATACATTAAAAATAACTATAATTTTTTATTTATTTTTAGAGATTCAGCTATTCTGGGTTTTTTTTTTCCTATGAGTGACGGTGCGGATAGAAATCTCCATATAGTGAGTATATTATTTCTTTTATACATGTGATAAACGTTATACATTAAAAATAACTTATTCTAATAACTGGTATTCTCTGGTTTTTTTTCTATGTACGAGAGACCAGTCAAGAGAAAATCTACCAAAGACCTGAATCAGCAGGTATGGACGGAGCAAAACCCCCTCCTATACCTGAAGCCTTATTAGATGAAATCGACAACATCAACAATGCTAATAATGAAAATGATGCGGTTTACCTCGCTCAACATGACTCGCCACCCGCAACGTCTGGTGAAGCGAGTGCCCAAGAGCCCTGTTTCCTACCGTCCTTAGAGACATTAATAAGCATGTTAAATGAAAGGGGCTATGAACCAGAAGCGGGATTGGGGCTGCCTGGTGACGAGGCCGCATGGTCCCCCGCGGATTCTGAATTGTAGGAAGCCTTGTCAGACGCAGAATTTCTTCTCAATGCTGAGGAGATTGAAAATGACTTGGGGTTGGGAGAATTTGAAAATGCCGATGTTGAACGGGAAGGTGGTGGTGACTTGGAAATGTTGGATCCGCAGCCTGACGGGGTCGTGCATCGCCGCAGATTCAATAATGTACAGATTAGGCGGATTCTAAATATCCCGCAACCAAGAAACAAAGCCAAATTCCGCGAGTACTACGAAAATGTAATCGGGGAGTTTCAAAATATTGTGAATGAGGCGATACCTTACACCGCATGGGGAGCTTATATACAGGTCACCCTGCGTGGTGACTTTTTAAACGACGAGCTGTCGCAAATCGTACGGTACGGGGAGGGGGAGCTGACAGACTTTCAGCAACTGCTGGATCGCCTGGTTCAGTCTAATCAAGAGATTTTAAATGATTCCAACCTAGAAGTAACCGTAGATGTAATCAATATCCCACGCGGCGGCTGTGGGAACAAACAAAAACTACAGACCATGCTAGCTTCAGAAATAATTTCTAAAAAAGCCAAACACATGTTTATCATTAAAAACGACAGCAGAGCGTGTTTCGCCATAAACTTGGCGCATATGCTCCACGCAAACCTCACTGACGCCGAGGGTGAAAAGCTCGGCCTGGAGTTACAGGAGAAAGCGGGATTTCCCCACGATCATGCTGTATGTTTAAATGACATTATTAATTTTGAGAAATTCATTGATTGCAAAGCAGTGGTGTATTATCAACAACTGTATTTAAACAATCTCCAGATTTACCAGACACCCACACCTACTGACAGCAGACGGGTGGTGTATTTCTTTTTACACAACCAGCATTTTTACGGCATTAAAAGCTTCTTAGGGGCTGGCTACGTTTGCACAAGCTGTTTGAAAGGGTACAACTCACCTCACTCTCATTGCTGCGAAAAATTCTGCAACGTCTCTCAGACTAATTGTAGAGAAGGTGAAACCACACCGGGGATAGTGTGTGAGTGGTGTAATCTCAGATGCTTAAATAACATGTGCTTTGAGCATCACCATACGCCGAGGGTCTGCCCCGTTAGGGGGGAGATTGCTAGCCCCTGTGACAAGTTCAGAAAATGCAAATCTTGTGGGCTCAACTACTACCTAAGTCCCGAGAACCCAAAACGGCACTCGTGTAAAACAGTAAAATGTAATATCTGCGACGCTAAGCTCCAGACAGCCGAATCCGACATATCCACCCCACATCGCTGCTATTTAAATCCACCGGAGAATCCTAACAAAGGGAAACGGGTCACCCAAAGGGGTGAGGGTGAGGACAGTAAAAAGGCCCCCAAATACGTGTTTTTTGCCTTTGAAACATCCCAGAGCTCGGGTACCCATATCCCCGTTTACGTGTGCACCATCTCCGATCAGAATGAGACAATGACCGCCGAGGGGCCTGACTGTGCGCTGCACTTCCTCAGACATTTCAGGACGCCCTACAATGCAGGGACGTGTTTCATTAGTCACTATGGAAAGGTGTTCGATAATTACATAATACTGAACGCGATGGTGAAGGAAGGGGTGGAACCGCGTGTGGTGTCACAGGGGAATAAAATCATTCTCATCGTGGACAGCGTGTTTGAGCAAAGGTACATCGACAGTCACTCCTTTCTAAGCATGAAAAAATCCCCGATGCACCGATGCTATGGGTTGCTCAATTCAGATGCAAAAAGGCTATTTTCCGCATCATTTCACAGACATGGAAAACTTTAGCTACGTAGGCCCATACCCTCCTCCCGATCAAATGCCCGGCAAAGAACGTTTTATCAATGGTATGACGGTGTAAAGCACCAGAGATGATCGCTTACTGTAAGAACGACGTGGAGATTCTGAGAGAGGGCTGCTTGCGCTTCCTGCAGGAGTTTAAAACGCTCACGGGTTGCGATCCCTTCTCCACGGCCACCATTGCTTCAGCCTGACCCACGAGAGCTTCGGTTCCCTGTACGTTAAAACAAGGGAAAAACTCAAGGCGTTGCGCCAAGAGTTTAACCCCCTGGTGCCTGAGGCCTTTTTTCCACTTTCGAGGTAGTCTGACATGCCTTGACATTTTAAAATATTTCACC